TTAGCTACTAAGGTATACAAAATTTGCTGTAACATTTCAACCGATCTGTGCCATTTGATAAAAATTTCGAAGGAAAGCACTAAAATATTCTGGTTGAGCTTTTTTATTAACTGCTCAACCTCAAAAGTAGATGTACATCTATTTTATTTAAATAACTATTTTACTTACAACATGATCTTCGCCATATTAAAAGTCCTAGTCGAAAGGACCAAAAGATTATCTTATCGTCGTTAACAGAACAAGACCTTCTCATCATTTAACTTAAAAAGTCTCTAAAAATAATATTTTCCATACTATTCTCAGTTTCACGTTACTTTTTATTATTTTTGTTGTATTTTTTCTTAAAATATTGACATTTATCTCATAAACAGAAATGCCTCTTTTGTTTTTAACGACTGCCTTTGCGTGGTATTTAATGGGGATTTTTATGAACTATTTTACACACTACCGACAAAACTTGCACATCTATTTTTAACGACTTTATACGTGCTTTTGAATTATATTGTACAAGGTGGTGAACATGGCAGTGATGCGGAATTTGTTCATTATATTTCAAGAAGCCAAAACACAATACGAAATTTTATCCTATTATCATAATTAGATTCTTACTTATTTACTTATGATTGTATTCGATACTTAAACCACATTTGTCTAAACGAAAAATATCATTGTCTGAAAGAGGCTAGCAAGTGAATTTTAAAATAAAGTTGGATACAATCCAATCAAAAACACGACAGTCAAACTATTTTGATCTCTATCGACCTTTTTTCGCCAAAGGAAAAAACGTAGAAACAAATGACAAAGCAGCTATAGAATGCGTCAACCTAGCGTTTAAATCTTGCATTTTGCCTTTCGTCTTGTAAATTGTAAAAAACAAAGCAAATAACAAAAATCTGAAAATAATTTCCCGGGATAATAAAGACAACAAATATTATCAGAACATTGAAGCATCCGGTTCTATCACTGTGCATAGGTTTTTCGATATCCGCCCTGAAAAGATTGTACTTTACTGTATAATGTAAACCACCTTATATGAGCTGTATTGTTTCTTATTTCTTACAAGGGAGTTAACATTAAATAATTTACAGTCAACGAAATATACAGTCCCTGATTTCAACAGTACTATTTAAGGAATGTATCAATCAGGTATATGGTTAATAAGTATACTTGCAGTCACTTTCTACGCATTCCATGTTATTCTGCTATTACAAATTGCAGCTTCCTGCAAAAGCGAAGCAAACCGATACTGTTTACGATATTACAGCATCCTTGTGCTCTGGCTAAATTAGTAAGCCTCATTGAAATGTGATCCTGAGTGAAAACTTACCAACAACAAATACCATCAATTACTTACAAGAACAAATACTATCACAAAAACACTGCCATATACCAAATTTATTCCTATAAATATATTGAGTCTAATCATACCCGCAATATAGTTTTTGGCATTTTTAACTTAGCGAATGAGCTTATGCACAAGTTTTAATTATGAATGTTAAATGACTATTTTCCAGTTTAATTCAATATCCGATATTAGGCATAATAATTAAAAATATGATCCAGTCAGGCTCTGCTAACATTCGACTAATGGCTATAAAAAAATGTAGAATCATCTAAACTAGTAGAAAAGCTGTTACACAACATGACATACAAGTAAACATACGATTAACGCAACTTTTCCAAGTACTTAAATTTTAATGAAGATAATGTATATAAGACGATTGGCATGAAAATATGGTAGAATAAAATTATACATTTTTCCAAACATTTCCCTATCGAAAAATATGAAACAATCGTAAAATATGCGGATAAGTGTGGGTATATTGTATTATAGTAGTTTAATTATGAGAAACGCTTAGTTATCCGATATATGAATGAAGCTCGATTAACCTCTGGTCTTAACAGCGAAATCAAGAGATAAAAAAAGATCTCTCCACGTACTTCGGACGCATTCGACGAATAAGCAAACTGCATACGTACAAGATTATAAGGCTAGATTAACTAGTCTCAACAGGCTTAAGTCGAGAAGAAAAAAAGGAAAAAACTCTTTCTACTTCAATTCTATTATACAAAGCATATTATTTAATGAGGCATATCAGACAAACAGCCCCTGTACCAAAGAGGTTAGAAATTTCGTTATGAATAAGCCATAATATAATGACCAAAGTTTAAATCTACAAAAAAAAATCTGCAAAATTTACACTTTGTTTTTTAAATAACCTGTTATTTTCGCTTGATGGGAGGTGATATAGCAATAATTTTGTTGCAAAAGTGTTTCGGTTTTCAAATTGTATTTAAGTTTGACTTTTTTCCGAAAAGAAAATCAAGATGTGGTCCGTTCCAGTTCTCGCTGCCGTCCTTTGCAATTTTTGAGTGGTATTTCTATATACTTGGAACAACAATCCTTTTTAGACCAGACTGAATTGACCTTGACTATTAATGGCATTGACCTTCTTGGTCAAGTGTTTGAATTTGCTTAATTATATAACTGGACAAGACTAAAGCAGACTAAATTAATTATTGATTTTCACTCATCAATGACATACTAAAAGTAAAATTAATGAATTTCGCTTGAGTTTTGCTATAAATTGGTCATAACTTTTTTTTATCATTTATGAATCGATTGTCTTGGACATAATCAATCCTTCGACAAGACCTTTAAAGAAGACCAAACTCACATTTAATTCTGACCTTCACTCATAACAAGACCCAAATTATTGTAATTTCACTTTTTTGCTCGTTCAGTGTAATAAAAGCACTGTCATCATATTTGTGTACAACAATCCTTTGATCAGAGACATTAAAAAAGAATTTATTAAACTTGCCTTGACCTTATTATCAACCTATTTTTAAATATACATTCCTCATACGACTTCAATTCTATATGGATTTTTCAAAGACATTTCCGTTTATAAAACACAATGCTTTTCGTTGTTCAAACACTGATGTGCAAATATTTCGAAAGAAAATATCCCATTGTGTTGTGACATATGCAAGACTGTAACATTACGAATATGCGTTACATAAAGTGTTTTCATTGCTTACTATTATGCATAACATTAGATATAGTCTATGGACAAAACTCATATTCTTTACTAGGACACAATTATTTCCGCATGTTAAGCGTTATGAGCATTGAAAACAACTTATAGAGATGTTAAGTGGGATTCACAAAAAAAAAAAAAAAAACAGTTTTGATATTAATGACAATATACGATATACAATGTTTTTATCGCAGTTGCCAAATTCTCAACTGAAATATTGTATTAATTTCAACGGCTGCCAAAGAAATCTCAGAAAATCGTTAAGAATGATTGTTCTATTATCCATGCCAATGATTTACTAACAGTCATATGTCAATTTATATATGTTGATGTTTCATTGCCATATGTAAGCTTTCATATATGATCAAGTTTTGTTAACTATCATGCCATTTGTTTAGGAGGCTAATGCTTTATTAGTCATCGTATTAGTATATTTACTACCTGTGTTTCTGTTTTGTTAAAAAAATATATTCTTACTTTGTAGATATAGAATCATATTTGCATTATAACATGTAACTCTTCAGTATTGGAGGAAATAAGATATATATATATATATTACCTTGGCAATTTTTTGAGTTTTGCTTCATTTGGTCAAAACTTATTTTTTATACGGATATGATACATAGTTACGAACAAAAGAAAACATATTACAAAGCAGACATGCTGGATACTCTGATGTGACCTTGGTCATTATTTGTCCTTGACAATCAAGGTCAAATATTTAAATGTACTTGAACTGTTATATATTTGTGATTTACATACATATTTGGGTGTGGCGAAACTTAGCAATTTTATAAAGTTTATTGTGGAGTTGCAGTAATTGAAGAATGGACAAATTCCTTTTAAAGAACATAGTTAAAACATTCTAGTGTTCCGTGGTACTCGTTATACCAGCTTTTATCAGAAGAATGAACATTTACTAGATTGGTGTTTTCAGCAGAAAATGACATGTGTTATGTGCAAAGACGGTTCCGTTTAAGTAATTTCGAAAAGTGGGTACAGATATGGATATGCACCCGTGATTATGCTATGGGAGAAAACCCGTTGCTGTGTACCTACCGATTCTTCATAACAGAGATTTTCATGCTTTTATCTTGGGGTCAAGGGCACTTTCATAGAATACATAAAGAAAAAATGGTTCTTTATATATTATTTAGGGTAAACTGTTTTTTTTATATCGCTTGTCATAGAGATACATTTATCATATCTATTTATGAGTTTTTAAATTTGGATTACTTTAAAAGAGGACCTTTAGGAAATTGTAAAAGTTGAGAATTGCACGCAGTTTAGTTTCTAAATATGTTCTATGTTAAAGCTAATTGTAAAATTTATATACATGCATGTACATGATGTGACATAATGGAAACAGAAATTGACGCTTTTAAAAAACATATGTCCATTACGTGATTGTAAAGAGAAAAAAGTAAATAAATAAATGGATTTTTCAGGATTATAAAGGAACTGTTATCCAAGCTTTTGGTTAAAATAAAATAAGATCATGTCAAATGGCGTTTTTTAAAAAACAATTCAAAGTGTTTGAAACTTGACGACCGTTTGTAAATTCGTTGTGTATAAAATCAAGAACCTCATTTAAACTGACTATAATTCGCAGCAGCAGATATAAATAAACAGCAATCAAAGTCGCACATAAATAAGACACCATCATTTATCATTTATAGGCTGTGTATAAATTACATGTTTACATTTAAACTTTCATTTTAATCAATGATGATAGTTTATATTCAATATCCAATACAGTGGTTTTTATTTAGTTATTTTGTGCTGTGGGGTTGTGAATTGCCACTGTGTTGATGAACGAGTTTTGCCTTAAAATATATCGTTTCTTTTTCTGAATGTATGTACTCAGCAAAATGATAGTTTGTCGGTTTTATTACTATATAAATAAACATGTATTGCATAAATGATATAAACTGTTAACGAATATATCAATCAGATAGGATGTTTTAATCATTCACACTACAGATCGATTCGAATAAACATTTCTACAGTTTTCAACTTTAAAATGATGATATTCATTTTGAGTAGGCGTATGGCCCAACGAAAAAAATTAAGAAGGACTATCACCAAAAGACGGTAAGTGATTTTTTATTTTCTGTTCATAATCTTCAGGTAAAAAAATTAAATAAGATTTTTCATATTAACTTAAAAAAAAGAAATGAAGAGACTCAGTCTAATTGAGTCTGCAAATTTTATATAATACTGTTATATTACAATGCTTCCTGTATGCTCTCTGTTTTTCTAGATTTTTTTATACTGGTTGCATCTTTTATATTTAAACTCGATTGTGAAATAGATTCTTCCAATTTATAAGAAACCACCTTCACTTCTTATTTTAATACTTTCTTACCCCACCCACCCCCCCCCCACCCCACCATCCCGCGCGTTCATCAATTTATACAATATGAAACCTTTTTATCGCATGAATTGAACACGCGTGGTTCAAGCCATCCGTTGTTTCTCGAGCAATAAACTTATACATCACTTGCTTCAGTACTGGTTTTCCAGGAACGGATCGAGATGTCATAAGCATTTATAGCTTCTAACACTCAATCGAACTAAATAAATTTTTATAAACCCAATGAACAATATATAAGTGATATACATAACATATATAAATTCGTTCATATAAGGACACTGTTCCATACAGGTATCTATATCTATGGAAGAACTATCATCAAGAATGTTGATGACAAATTATAACTTATTGCTATTTGCGCTTCCATAATCATGATTAATAGAATGTTTCAATAATCTGTAAAATAATAATTATTGAATCATTCGGTTTCATATGACAATCTGGTTCCAAGAATGATACCACTTCTTCAATATAGTACCACAGTAGCCAAGTTATCCTTGTATGAAACCAGATTTCAAGTATTAAATTGTCAACAGCACAAGAACATTAACAATTATCAAAGTAACAAAGTATATAAATAAGTTAATATTCAAGCTGCTTCCCCCGAAGACAATATTTTAACGACCTATTCTCAAGAGTACAGAAAGAATTTCCAATGGCTACCAATTATTGTGCAATTTATTAAAACCAAACTTTTTGACAGTCGGCATTGCAGATTCATTGTTACTTGAACCATTAAAACCCATATAAAACAAGGAAAGCATCACCCCAAAGCCCTGAAAATTTTAGACCAATACTATCCTTAGACTGTTTTAGGAAGTTGTTACTGCTATCCTAAGACGATTACAGCATTCTTAAAAAAATAAATATATGAGAGACACATCAGCTCTGATTAAGCAAATATTTACAATAGACCACGTTTCATCTTAAATTTTAACAGAAGCTCGTCTCAGAAAAAGAAACTACATGATTTTTCCAAGCCTTACAAAGTGTGAGAGCGGCCTTTGAGTAAGACTTTTTAACAATGGTATACAGGGAAAACTTTATAATATAATTTACAATATGTATGCCGACATAAAATCCTGTGTCTCTGTTAATGGAGTACAATATCTCCTTTTTTAAAACTAATTGTGGAGTTCGTTAAGGAGAACATTTGTCTCCTACACTTTTTTCCATCTACCTTAATTATCTCAAGACCTATTTAGAATCAAAACATAACAGACATTAAAATAGAGCAGACAGATCTTGGATCCGACCTTTACTTGAAACTTTTATACTGTTATATGCCGATGATACTATTATAGTTAGTGGACGATCATCCTGCTGCTTTTCAAAAACTTTTGGATGATTTTTATGATTATTGTGTAAAATGGACACTTGAATAAACATGACAAAAACTAAAATTGTAATTTTCGGATCAAATAAAACAAACAAATATCATTTTACAATTAACAAGGAACCAATAGAAAAAGTTAAGGAATACAAATACCTCGGACTCTATTTTACCCCGTCTGGCAGTTTTTCTAGTACAAGAAAAAACACCTGTCTTAACCAAGCAAATAAAGCCATGCATATTCTTTACACGAGGATATTTAATCTCGATTTACCAATCCACCTACAGACAAAACTTTTTGCTCAAACCATTTGCCTATTTTAACGTATAATTGTGAAACATGGGGCTTTGAAAACCTTGACCTAATAGAAACTTTCATAATAATTTTCTTAGAAAGATCACTTATAGTAAAAAAGCACCCATTTATATATGCTTCTACGGAGTGTTAGGCCGCTACCCATTAAAATAGTAAAAAACTAGAATGATTAATTACTGGTGTAAACTGATTATGGGTAGGAAAAATAAAGTCGCCAGAATATGTTATGAAAAACATGCTTAATTCAACGATTTACTTCAAATGGCTGCATCACATAAAAGATATTTTGAATAATACTGGTTATACATATATATGGAGGCAGAATTAGGGTATTTATTCATTTGACTACTTGTTGTTTCATTTGCATACGTTTAAATCATATTCCTACAAATTTGATTCATCTGTGAGTAAATCAAAGTTCTTTATTTAAATATTTATTTATTCTTTCTTACTATGTTTATAGTAAGTTGTAATATTCTAAAGCCAATGCCAGTACTTTATTTAATTCGTTTAATTTGATATTAGATACCAATAAATTACTTTTTGTTTTTAAACATGTGCTATTTCTACTTATTTAAAACAAAGTGTGTTTCTCGAACTTGTTTCTTACAAATGTATCTGTGCAACTCTTATTCTCATTCGATTTACACTGAAAATAAATTTGTATGTAGAGGCTATAAGAGTTGTTGTTATAGAGATTTATCCATATTCTAACTTTATGAAATTATTAACATTAAACAACCTTAGGCGAAATAAAACTGACTCATTTCAATAAGAAGAACAGCAGAACAAATAAAAACTAGAAACCACGTGTTTAATATTTGCTTTCTGTGTCCTAGCTGTAAAATTCTAGCGCAAAATCTTAGTGACGGGAGATAACTCATGTATCGCTTCGGTATTTTCCGTGAGCACAAGGTGTGAGGATACAATGCTACTCGGCAATTTAATCCAAGTTTATAGGTAGCACACCACAATAATGTAAGACACAGCTTTGAATAGCTAGGGAGGATTTCTTGGATATAGTGAATATTCTGGATTTAACCTTTTACCCCATGAGCATATTGTGAAAAATGGCAGTTTTCATTGAAAAGCCTTCTGCTACAAGTTCAAACTGCTATAAAACTATAATAAATGCTTTAATACTGATGAAACTTAGCACACATGTTGACTGGACAATGGCCTCTGTAATAGCATGAATCGTAAATTTTCTGTTACCACGGCAACGGGGAACGTCTCAAAATCACTATTTTGCATTGTTTTTTCCCATCAAAACTGATTTCAAAGTGCTGCAACTTCTCAATGAATTAAGATAGAGTAAAAGGCTTTTCAGCGTCGGTTACTAGTTACCCTGACATCGACCTGAGGCCGTGTTTAGCCTGTCACATGTCCAAAATTTTCTTGGCGATGAGGGGGGCTACCGCCACCTTCAAACCCCCCAAACAGAAGGGGGCACATTCCCCATCTGGCAACCCCCTGATGTACTATTTTGATAGGGGGCGCGTCGAAAAGTGGTCACTTTTTTAACAACATTTCTCAAATGAAAAACAGTGTTAGGGCCTAAATAGGGCATTTTTTCACTGTTTGAGGTCTCAAAAAGGAGGGGGGGGGGCAAAAAGCCGTCAAAATACGTCTATATAAGGGAAAAGGTTAAATGACTGGTTGTCCTTAAAGTGCATTTTCAGCATGAAATTTGTTTTTGTGACGTCTAATATGATCACTTGCAAATTCAAAAACATGGCCAGAAATCACATGCTGTTGATTATAGATGCTAAAGCCGCCATTTTTGTAAACATTGCTTTTAAACAGCATGCACGGTAAAAACAAGTCATTTTACAGGGGGTACAAACTATTAGCAGTAGTAAAAATTCTACAAGGTTGAGCACCAGTTTCTTTGTGATATTTTGCATGTAAAGGGTATTGCTAAAGCAGAGACGGTGTTCCTTTAGCCTGTATATTTGCAGGTCTTTTTTGCCAGAGGGACGAAATGTGTTGTTTTGGGTCTCGGGCCACTGTAGATTTTGGGCTTCAACGGAATGAATTACAACTTTTTTGACTGCCTGCCTATTGCAGATGGGATGATTTCTTTGTAGATTTGCAATCTTATGTCATATATGTTCTCAACAAAATGTGTTTTCTTTTTCCAGATTGTGTAGTTTGGTATCAGAATTATTAGACGTACATGTATTGCTTGTAGGACATTGACGGCAGAAACTTGAAATTAACTGTGGAGTGCTACCCTGGATTTCGTGGATTTTTTAAGAGAATATTTCAATGGTTACACCGTCAGAAATTACGGACTTGTACGGAAATATTGGTTCCCGGCCAGATGTATAAATTTAAATTTCAATGTAATTTCGTATTCGTGTTATTGCAGTTCGTATTTGTCTAGGTGCATTCGTATAGATTTTATTTAATTGTTATGTAACCCACTTTGTATTCTTAAAAGGAAGGACGTTCAAGATCATAAGTTAAAACTAAATTATTCAAATTGAAAAGGAAGAAGTATGCAACATAATATCTAATCACGTAGTTTAAACAAGAAGTCGAAACAATTGATCCTTACATTCTGCAGTATCAAAATACAAATGTTTAACTGGCAATTAAAAAGTAGCAATTAAACTTGTTTAAATCAATTTAAATTTATATGATTATAGATAAGAAAATTAATGAATACGAATACAAATTAGATAAATAGAAATTGAAAGATAAACAGCGAATAAATACCCAAATTCTGCTCCATAGTTGCTCCATACATATATATATGGGAAAACCAAAATAATATTAAATTAAAGAACGTTGGTATTCTTATCAAGCGTAAATTGTAGACCAATTGCAATCAATTAACTTACTCCTCAAAGGGAATAAATATCCGTCTTTTTTAAAACTGAATTAAATTTAAAACATTATTTGATTAATTTACCAAAAAACTTAAGATCGTCACTTTTCTACTTTAGAACCGGAAATCATAGGTTGCCAATAGAAACAGGTAGATGGAGACAGTCATTTGTTCTATACGAGGAACGTAAGTGTCGCCACTGTCAGCTCAACGATTTGGGAGACGAATTCCATTTTCTCCTTAAATGTCCTTTTTTCCAAGCGTTAAGAACAAAATTCATACCGAAATATTTTTAAACTCGATCAAATATTATCAAGTTCTCATCCCTAATGTGTTCAATTTTAAGAACGTTACTGATTAATATCGCCCGCTTTGTACGCGAGATTATGAATACATTCAAAAGGTAATCTACTGAAAACAAACCTCTTAAGTTGCAAAGCTAGTAAATCCGTATAGAATTAAAAGCACAATCGATATTCATCCAGTCAATGAAATCAGTTTTGTCCAATACATGACCTATTTATTTGTTTATATGTCCCAACTAATCAAATCGCAACAAACATAGCACGTGACTTCCGAACCAGACGGTACTATTAATTATAATTTATCAACAAGAAAAGCATTGATGCAAAGCATCAAAGGCGACGCCAAAAAAATTTGATCAAGCTTGGCGCCTAAATACTTATGTGTACTTTATAGCAGTACCATTACATGCACCTGGAGGCTAGGCCCAGTTTAAGTTGAAACATAAACCAAAAAGAATAGACTCTGTCTTGCCAAGATGAAAAGACAATTTATAGTCAATTAACCAATCACTTATAAGACTCATGCCATAAGAGAGAATTTCTTCAGATTTATTTTACGAGATACATGGATACCTGAGTCATCAGCATATTATCATAAAAGCTTATTGCTTAGGGTTGCAGACATGTCATTGACGTAATAGACATAAAAGAGGACCTAAAATGAACCTCAGGCAGACACCATACAAATGTAGGTACTCGGTGCAGTAGTAGAATGAGTACCAGCCACATCCACCAGCTGCTGTCTATCAGAGATAAGACTTGAACCATGTATGAATGTCATTACCTATGGCATCATGAAGAAGAAGAAGAACTTCTTCATGTGCAGTATAGTGTGATCAACTGTATCAAATGACTTTTGTAGATCTAAAAGTATCATGCAATACTGCCGTTGTCCATTTCAAATTTAATACAATCTGTTAAATGAATCAAACGTGCGTCAGTTGAAAAACCACTTCTAAACCCTGACTGAAACTGCCTGACCATGACTCGAACCCCGTCAGAAGACCAACTGAGCTATCCAGCCGGCTACACATTTTCTCTTTAATAATGAAACAGTTCTAAACCACAACATATTTCCCCACCATATTGATTTGTGTCGTTGAATTTCTGATGTTTACAGAGTATAATGAATTAAAATTAGGGTTATATGCAGTCACAGGATGAGAAAAACTTTCAGCTTGACCAGAACTCGAACATGTGGCCCACATAATAATGTACTGTTGAGCTATCACATTTTCTCCCCTAAATAGTGAACAGTTCTAAACCGTGACAGATACTTTTAGTTAACAGGTAGATTAATTCTTAATTAAACAAATAAGAAAAAAAACCTTACATACTCAGTCTTAATCAAAATAACAATTTATATTTTGTATAATTACTTTTACTAAAAAGGGCTTAGTCACTTATTGGTTGTGCCTTATTTATAACAGGTCAATTTGAAAGTGAACATAACTGTACTAATACATGTACAATATCTATGTTTTGTACAGATAAAAAACTAACTTTTTTTCTGTGATAAGAAATTTTATGAAGGCTGTTTTGTATTTTGCATCAGGGGCACCGGGCGAAAACATGAAAATGCAACAAACGAACCACTTTGCGGTAGATTGTATTTTCATGTTTTCATCTGGCACCCGGTTACTTTTTGTACCGTGGCACAAATCACCCACTATAAAATTTAGTGCACAAATTTATTCAAGGGAAAGTAACAATCTACTCTATGAAAAGAACAGAACAGAACAGATATTTTATTAAGACTTGTACAAAGTACATCATCTACAATACATTATATTCACATATGTTATAGCTGCATGAAAATTAACAAACAAAATGAGGATATCACATTTTACGTATACAATTGTTTCATGACAACAAACAAACAAACATGCAATCAATCAATCAAACAAACAAACAAACAAACCACCATTTTTCACGCATGCGCATACACAGAAAAGGTTGTTGTCGGGTTGACTCTGGTGACCTGGAGGTTGAGACCGGTGTCCCTGCATTACAAATAGATAAGACAGAAGCTGTCTTTTTCAAACTATATGCAAATGTCAGAAAAAAATAGAATAACTATTCAGAATATGATTTTTTGTGACTTTATTAATTACATGTACTGACAAATTCAAACAACGACAGTGAATTGGTGGGAACCAAATTTTTTCAACGTTATAATAATCCTTTATAACGGAAAATTCGAGTTATATTCAGTTTTGCACATAATTTGTTTAATTACTCTTCCAGAAAAATGACTCAGAAGAATCCAAGTCCATGGTTGAAGAAACAAACCAAGCTACTACAAATTAAAAGATTGGAAGAGAAAATTGCAAAAGTCATAGCTGCTATAGAATTACTGTACACTTGTAACCATAGAATTTCATTGAAGAAATTACTTTGTATTTTTATAACTCTGGTATCCATAGTGATTATCATGGCTAACAACTACTGGATTACACAACTTGATATTTTCGGAGAATTTGATAGGATGAATGTGTCTCCAAAACAACGTGACAAGATGCCATCAAAGTTATTTTATACAAATAGATCGGAAGATTGATCTATACAGTTTTCAAATCATCAAGCAAAACAACCATGAAAAAGATCTGTAATTAATGAGATGTAATTGAAATTTGATTACATACTTTATACGTCATTCTAAGAGAGTTACAAACATTGAAAACTATTTTCTATATCAATTAAAATTATTAATCAATACTACAGTGCGTACATTATTTAGATTAACCTCTATACATGTACATGTATTTCTATTATATTCAAGACAGCGAAGACAGCTATGGCTTTCCATATTTTAGGTCTGCGCAGCGTCATTGTATAATCTTGTATGTCGTAGCGGCAGCGTAAGATAATCTCAAAAGGTAAATCAATATTACAAAAGTTATCCAATTATAAATCTGGGGTTTTGCTAAATTAAAGGAAATTGAAAGACTTCATCTTAAATTTTGTAAAAAGATATTAAATGTAAAAGTTAATTCATGTAATGTTGCTGTGTATGGTGAATTATTACGTTATCCTTTATATATTTCAAGATATGTTAATATTTTAAGATTTTGGTTTAAAATGCTTCAGACAGATAATATCATTCTTAAAAATGTATATAACATTGCTCTTGAAAACTGTAATAATGGTAAGAAAAATTGGTTATCAAATCTTAAATTGTTATTTTTGTAATCATGGTTTTAGTGATATTTGGCTGTAAAAAGTAACATATTTTTACCAATATTTAAGCAAAGGGTAATTGATTGTTTTTATAAAGTTGGCTTTCTGGTAAAGAGAGCAGTCCTTTTTTGTATCTGTATACGAGTAATCATGTTAAAGATTCTTTTGTATATGAAAACTATCTTGATATAATACCAAGTACTTTAAGGAAGTATCTTACAAGAATTAGAATATCTTCGCATTCAGAACATGTACAAACTGGTAGGTTTCATAGAAATAGAATTGTTAGAAATGAAAGAAATTGTTTATATTGTAATCTACATGACGTCGAAGATGAAATCCATTTTATTTTAATTTGTTCTTGTTAATTTGATATAAGAAAAAAATATATAGAGGATATTTGTTTGTTTGTGTGTAAGATGAAATTTTATTTCATCGAGTGGGCTTTAAAAACAGTATTCTCACGAGTGGCTACGCCACGAGTGAGAATACTGTTTTTAAAGTTCACGAGATGAAATAAAATTAAATCTTACACAACAAACAAACAAATTTTCTTTTTATTTTATGCTAAAAAACAAGTTAAAACGAAATTTCCATAATTTTAACGTAAATATTAAAATCTGTTTTCCCCATTGAGAGCCCAATTTAGTCGGAATTTCTCATTAAAAACAAGAAGTCTTGAGCTGTAAAATAAGTCCGACAATCATCGTTAAATGACAGTGATATTATTTATTTTGTTAAAAAAATATGAATGATCGCTTGTTTTAATAATAAAAACAAACAATTCTTGTAGGAGAAAAATTCCAACCATCCATCCATATTTCTGTTACTTACTGCGTATTTATATTAGACCTGGCTTTGTTAAAAGTAAGCGGCAGCCATTTTTTAAAGTTGTGTATTTCACGGGAGGAAAATAATTGTGTTTGATTCAGAGGGATATCATTTGGATTTGTTAGTCATACACCTTTTTAAAAGAAAGAAAACATATTTGAGGATTGAAACAGACAAAAAATAAGTGTTGACAGATGTGAAAACATGAAAAAAGCAGCTATGAAAATGGAAAACTTGGAACTTGCTCGGAACGCTGGGTGGTTTAATTGTTCTACGAGGTGATAGCTGTCATTGCTTTTCATTTTTTTCATAAAGCATACGGCAGTTATTGCTTGTAGGATACTTTAGTATGCCCAAATGTCATCAAGAGCAGTTTGCATGTGGAAGGAATGAATTTTTCAGACTGTAAAAATGAAACAAACAATTTAGCTAGATGAAACTTGGCAATTGGAATTTGAATGAATAGAAGTAAGTTTTCTTCTTTTTATTACTTTGGACATTTAAGTTGATTATCAATTTCAGCTTTGCGTTTTCTTTAAACAGCATGGCATTGTCAGAATTGTTAGCAAAAATAAAATTGAGGTACCACATCGGAAAAATCTAAAAAAAGTAGTTTCGTCATTGAAAAGTGTGAAATTATATTTTGATAATTTTCACTGTGAAATTATCAAATATAATTTTCACGGATAAATCAGTAATCCACTGAAAAGCATAAAATAAATACTTTTAAATTTATCCTTGTATGTTCGAGATGTGATGTCTCATAGAAATAACTTAGATATAGTAGATACAACTTAATATATTAATAATTCATCCTCTATATTGATATGAAAGAGACATGTTTAGATCCGATCTTGTGATTTATGTTAGTATGTATTGTAAAATTGTATATATATGTATGACGATGTATGATTGTACAAGTCAAAAAATAAAGTATCTGTTCTGTTCTATAAACTTTTGGCCTCACCCCATACCGTCTATCACGGGGCCTTATAAACTCGACTGTCTGAATCACTGGCCGTGCATGTACGAGTATTTTACATTTGTTCGTCGACGCAACCTGCTTTCATTATCCTGTCTAAACCGGTGTTGAATTGATTTTGTGTACAGAGTTACAAGATTTTTGCAGAATTTTCATTAATGATCATTGCAGGATTACCTTAGAAAAACATTATCATTGGGTAGCCTCGACTGAATATTCCGCTCGTATTGTAACGGATATGAAATGATATGGATCGGACTTGTATTGATTTACTTTTTAACAATGGATTGATCGTAATATATTTTACATAGAAATACTTTCTTTATTTGTAATTAGGTTATTGTTACTTAAAAGCTGCCTTTAGTCAACCATTATTGACTGACCATTTTCAACCTCCTATATCCATTTACCTACGCTTGATTAAATGATTAAAGTAGATCATCCTGGCAGAATTATTCATCCATTGGATAATCCTGCGTTAGACATCAGTCGTAATGATCTTAACTAACATGGAATAGAACAAAATACTACAATAATTTTCGATGTGCTGCAGTTTGATAAAGTTATTGAATTTCAAAAGGTTTAAACTGTATGATGATATTTATAAGTTATAAATAGAGTTTGATACGAAAACCAGCAGTGGGATCATTAATTGAACAATTAGTTTGAATAAGTTTCAGTTTCAATATATTCAAATGTTGATATTTATACTCAGTCGGCGTTACTTGAAACAGGTCCGTAGGAAACGAACTCGTCTATTTACCAGGTAAAAATTTGTCACTATCAAAATATTATAATCATAAAAATATTTGAAAAAATATTTAACCAAAGGTGAGGATTGAGAAGTGGATATGTTACCTTTTACCATAAATAATTTATTCTGTAGTCAGCATAGAAAAACAACATTAAAGATTTGTTTTTGTTTAAACTGCCCCGTTATTTTCACTCATGACAACCGTAATTTCTTGTTTTAGTTGTTTCGATTTATGTGTTGTGTGTCGTGATGACCCTAACGAGACACCGTAGACAACACATGCACATATGTTTTCTTTTTTCAAACATAGATATGATTCGTATTTGTGCCAAAACCTGTTTTAATATTTTACAAAGACGACGGTTTTTATTATGTAAATAGCTTCTTATTCATGTAAATATTTATATCTTTCACATTTGTATGAAATACTGCAGCTTTTCTTATTAGTTTGATTTTTTTAACTGAAATAAAATTGTCATGTTAGTTATTTTTATACGATTTCTCAGTTTTAAAAGAAAAGTTTTAATGTTGTATGCTTACTATTTTAAATTGCTTCTTTCAGGTAGTCACGATGTTTCCTTTTATTAGTCTATGTATAGCAATGGTTTCGCAGTATTATCACTTAAACGCGTTGTTCTAATGATTTATGTATTTATATATTTATATTTATATTCTAATATTGTGATATAGATTTTTCATCTCTTATAACTCCATGCTGGAGTGGCATTGTACTTTTATGCTGTAACTTTTTAACATTGTGTATATGTCTGTACAATGATGAGATGTAAATAAAGATTTCTACTCTATGCGATTAAAAGACCTGTCAAAATATAAGTCTATGTACGTGTATAAATAAATTATAAGTCAAGAAATATAAATATGTGTTAATTAAATAAGAAATAAATCAATGACATCGTATGGAAAATCTATGGCGTAATATAAATCATTACAAATTCATATTTTTAGTCGTGATGGGAATAAACAACCTAATATGGCGAACTTTCCAATAAAACTAATTATAAAAGATAAATATCGATGGTGTGCATTTGCTTCCCTTAACATGGTATCAAATACACTATTAGAATGAATAATTTATAAGAAAATAAGAAATGAATAAATGTTTATACTTGTATTTAATGTAGGACATTTAAATTGTAAATGACAAATCCCCAATCGTGGTATACTATTACTTTTTAGTCCTCGGAATAGATATATTACAACTCTGTCAAAAGCACTAATAGAGCACACATTATTTGCACTCAACCACTATAAAATGTTGATGCATTTAAAAGAGTTTATTCATTATTAATATTGTAATCTTAATACATTTCAGGTCGTTGCAGTAACTAAATTCAATGTTGAACTTTTTTAAACTAAATAAACTTTTAGGAGTTATAATCAGTTTTGCACATAATTTGTTTAATTACTCTTCCAGAAAAATAACTGAGAAGAATTCTAATCCACGGTTGAAGAAACAAACCAAGTTACTACAAATGAAAAGATTGAAAGAGAAAATTGCAAAAGTCATAGCTACTACAGAATTACTATACACATGTAACCAAAGAATTTCATTGAAGAAATTACTTTGTATTTTTATAATTATTGTATCCATAGTGATTGTAACCCGTCTTATCATGGCTAACAACTACTGGATTACACAACTTGATATATTCGGAGAATTTGATAGGATGAATGTGTCTCCAAAACAACGTGACAAGATGCCATCAAAGTTATTTTATACAAATAGATCGGAAAATTGATCTACATGTATACAGTTTTCAAATCATCAAGCAAAACAACCATGAAAAAGATCTGTAATTAATGAGATGTAATTGGAATTTGATTACATACTTTATACGTCATTCTAAGAGAGTTACAAACATTGCAAACTATTTTCTATATCAATTAAAATTATTAATCAATACTACAGTGCGTACATTATTTAGATTAACCTCTATGCATGTACTTGTATTTATAATATTTTCAGCACAAGATTTGTTACTGCTGTGTTATCGATTGGAGGATTTTTACAATAGTTACCCCCCTTGAAAGAATTACACTGACAAAGAAATATCAAAAGTTCTCAGTACCTCCAAAACACCATGTCTGTATAATTAATAAATTTCGCCGATGCCGTAGTTCGAATATGCCCCCTGCCTCTTAATAAATTATTTGACAAAATATGAACAAAATCAATATAGTATTAAACAGCTGATTTGGGAGAAATATCAAAATAAATTATACGTGTGAAGGAAAATATTTTTAGCGCCAATATGTAAAAGAGATTTATCTTATCTTCAGGACAAAAAAATGGGATTGACCCTTAAACGACGGTCAAGGTAGGTAATAACTGATATGTGAAAAACTTCGATTGAGTTTCATCACATTTTCAAATTGCTAGCAGGCTCGCAGAACTATTTTATATTACGCACGTTTGAAAGAGAGGATTGATATATTTGACGATGTATTTTTTTTTTTATTAGCTCACCTGAGCTAGCTCAGGGTGAGCTTTTAGGATCGTTGAATGTCGTTCATCGTCCGTCCACATTTGTTCGTTAACACACTAGTGGTCACATTTTTGCCTCAATCATTGGCAAACTGTGTCAGGATGCTTGTCTAGATTATTACTCGGATGAGTTCGAAAGTGGGTCATCTTGGATGAAAACAAATAGGTCACAGGAGCTAAAAATAGAAAAATCTTGTTGACACTAGTGGCTACTGTTTTATCCAAATATCCCGGAAATTGGTCTAAAAGTTTGTTTTGATGATGTCTAGGTGAAGTTTGAATACGGGTCATCTGGGTTCAAAAACTAAGTCACATCGCCCAAATACGGAAAAACCTTGTTAACACACTTTTGGTCATATTTTTGCCTCAATCATTATCAAGCTTTATCAGGATATTTGTCTAGGTAATTGCTGGGACGAGTTCGAATATTTCGGATGAAGAGCTAAAAAAGAAAAATATTCTTACACTCTAGTTTTGATCGAAATATCTTGTTAATTAGTCTGAAAGTTTATTTTGATGATTTCTATGTCAAGTTAGAATATGGATCACTTTGGCTCAAAAACTAGGTCACACCGCCCAAATATGGAAAAACCTTGTTATAACTCTAGTGGTCACACTTTTGACTCAATTGTCATCAAACTTGGTCAGGATGCTTGTCTTGGTAATTGCTCAGATGAGTTCGAACACGGGTTATCCCGAATGAAAATCTACGTCACAGGAGCTAAAAATAGAAAAATCTTGTTAACACTCTATTGGCTACTGTACTGATCCAAATATCCTGGAAATTGGTCTGCATGTTTGTTTTGATGATTTCTAGGTCAAGTTTGAATATGGGTCACCTGGGGTAAAAAAACAAGGTAACACCGCCCAAATATGGAAAAAACTTGTTTACACTGATACACGTATAATTGTGTTTTTTTACAAACTATTACTATTATATATAATTAAATTCACTTGTACATAAAGGCTATTGAGACGTATTATTTGCACTATAGCAAAAATCGATAAAATAAAATTACATTTTTAGCATGGAATCATACTGATTAACAGAAAGATAAACAAATTAAAAATTCACCAAAAGAAAGAAACTCTATTTCAAACTTCTATTTAAAACTAATAAAGCAAATATAGGGACAACACGGCCAAAATTTAGTGACGTTGAGTTAGTAATGGATTCAGAACGAGTTTTTCCTAAAAGATGTTTTCTTACAGACTTAAGAATACAGCTTGCTAGGATAAACTACAAACAGTTCGAGATGCACCCGAAGTGATAAGCGGTCTAGAATGAAAAGTGGCCCTTTAATAATATACATAGTTTCGATATGCTCCCTGTTTATAATTGTGTAGCATTGCATTAGTTCTATAGCATTCCCGTGTCTATTAGTTTTGCGAGTTAAACTTTCTCATTTGAAACAATGCAAATGCCAAGAAAGTAAATTACTGTCCTGATTGACTTGAAGAAGCTGATATATTATCAAAATTTTACATAATTTACAAAGATTTATATAACAATGTGGTGTCGTAAATTAGCATGACCTATAGTGCAGCGAGATTTCATACTTGCATTACCATGTTTGACAAACGTTTTCCATTAGGAAAGGGAATAAATTCGTGACAATGCATAATAAATAATGAAAATGACCATTATCTGATCAATGATTTACTTTTGAAAGAGCTATCTTCATCTAGATTAACATATTGATTACTGTATAATCATCCGTTAAGAATGCTTCTTCAGTGAAAATGAATTAAATACTATTTAATGTCCTTTTCCAATTAAAAATGACGTTTCTTCACAGAAATACAGAGACAATAGCCTCATTTTTAATGACATCAAACGAACAATAAATGAACTGAGCGATGTATAAATTTTTTTAGACCTACATAAGGTCTACTGCTTAGTTCAATCAACGTATAGAAATACAGATAGAGGGACTGACTATATGTCGCTTTATGTGTCACTCACTACCATATGCAATGTAAGAATGTCTTTATAAAATTTATCAGTTTGATAATACGGATTGAATGAAATAGGATGTAGAAACTGTTGTAAAGTTGGCAGCAGTAAGGTAATTTAAATGGCCTCTGTCCTGATTTTGTAAGCTAAAATTTACTAAAAGAGGTATGAAATTACAGAAGGAATAACACAATAAAATCATGTTTACAATCTCCTTGTAGCGACGAAGTATTATCAACGACATATGTTTCTGTTAGTAAGATAGTTTGCTTTGACAAAATAATCGACAAAAGTAATCATCACATTATAAATTCAGTTGATCAATGTATGTAAAAGGATCAAGCGAACAGACAATATAGAAAATAGCACTCAGATACTTGGAAACGCTGTTGCCAGTCTATTTATAATGGTAATAATTAAGTTTTCATAATGACCTTGTTATAGGACTGAAGACTGTCATATTAGCTTGAAGCCTTTAGCCCGAAGGCTAATATGACCGCCTGAAGACAAATTTAAAAGCCATTTTGTAAACTCCTACCTATAATTGACAATTATATAAATCAACATATGAACAGAAACAAAATAACATTTTACTTTTTTTACAGAATATAATGCTACAATTTGCACGAAATTTTGTAATGGGAAAATGTCCGAGTTTCTGAATTTACCCCTGTTCAAAATGGCGTCAATTTTTGTGTGTGTGCCGTTGGCTTCGTAAAGGCCAATACGTCAATCAGAATGTCCGAATCTGATAAAAGCCATCTTTTCTCGTAATGGCTGAGTTTTAAAAATGGCTGAATATCCTATTCATAATGCGGTGCGAATTTCATATTGGCACTTTATTGGAAGCGTTAATAAGCCAATATTGTATAGTTGATTTATAAATATCCATACAGGGTTTTTGTTAAACGCTTTACACATGGTGAATTAATTAAACAGATAAACATGTATTTGCAGTATTTCTCTGAAAGAAGATTTACAAATGCGTATGCTGATTTGCTTGCAGATTGCCCTTCGGTTGTGACGACAAAGTAAACGGCGGGATATAGAAAATATAATTATTAACTACAGTCAGGAGATCTGACGATCGCAAATCCAAAAACGTAAAATAAGACTTTCCAGTCAAGTTGAATTCAAATTTTCTAAAAAAGCTGACATAAAACTGTTGAACAGGGTTTTATATTCATCATCATTATAATCAATTTGTCGTCATCGTCGTTATCATCATCAGTTACAACATTTACAACATCATCATTTATTATCTCATAATACTTTGATAAGAGGATATAGATAAGGATATTTTTAATATACTTTATAAATTATCGGCTGTTTGTCGCAAGTAAATGGCAATTTAAACACCTAGGTATCTATAACAACTGATGTATCATTTTCACACGATTGTATCACATTTTGGTAACAATAAAAATCATACATATTTAAATATTGCTATTTTGACATTTTTCGCGAATAGATATGTTTATCATGCTGTGACAATTCAAATGATAGAAAATCTCATTAACAGGAATGACCAATTCCTGACGTTTATTGACAAAGCAAAGGATTGGGTTGCTAATTGAAAAGCATCTGTAATGAGAGAGAAGCAGTATTGGAACAGGAAGAACCTGTATTGATATTTCTCTCTTACGGCATATTACAAAATTTCTCCTAAATGTTATAGTTTACAGCGGGTCGACTTGGACTTTATTTGTGCGATCATATGAAAAAGTTTTGTCTTTTGTTAATGGTTTAGATATTTTTATAAATTTTTATATCATGTTTGAACATTAAAGTTTGTGTTGATAACAATTGTAACTAAAACGGACATTATAACTGGCAAAATTTGGAGAAATGATAACGAGGATGTGTTATGTAATATAAATTAAATCATGGAATTTTAATATCTCAACGAGTTAAATTTGACTGAATGAAATGGAGATGAACAACACAGCAGAGCAGGAAATAATTGAGCAATTCTCTGTATTACTTCCGTCGTTTGTGTTTATTTGTATTTTGATAACTGTTGGTATACCTGGTAATATACTGGCTATAATTGTGTACGGGTTTAAACTTAAAACAACGACAGGGAGGTATGCCATTGTTTCACTAGCTATATGTGATGTTGTAAATTGTGTTCTAAGCATTCCAGTTGAACTGTTTGTGATGACGAGGTACTGGCATTTCGAGCATGCTGCGTTGTGTAAAATGTCACGATTCCTTACCTATGCCATGAACAACTCGTCCGCTTTGATATTACTTGCAATAGCTGTTGAAAGATATCGTGCAATATGTAATCCACATAAGCCAAAAATTAGCAGCTCGTGCATTTTTAAAGCATGTGTAACACTAATTATTGTAGGATTTATAATTGCCCTGCCAGCGCTCTGGATTTACGGGATTCAGACAGATGCTTGGTTACATGGAAATATTTTAAAATTACCATATACTGTCAACACTGAGTATAACAATACGATAATACACCATTCCGACTCAAATATTGTCTCGTATCTCATGTCAAATAAGAGCGCATACAAATATAGCGGTACTCAAATAGTAACTAAGCGATGTCTGATGGATGACAGATTTAGACAAACATGGTTTGCATATTCTCATTTCGGATTTGTTACGATCGCTTCTGAGATTATACTAGTTATCCTTATCGGTATCTATATCCAGATTGGCAGAAAAATCTACGGACTTAGAAACATGGGCAGCTGCTCTGCAGACGAAGAGAGCATGCGCAGATCTGCAAAACGAAAGAAACAAGCAACACTTGTGCTTTTCCTGATAACTTTAGCTTTCGAATTCACATTCTTGCCGTTTACAATTATAACCAATATCAGGTTCTTCACAGAACCTGCATGGTATAATAACCTGTCTAATGCTGGGAAGATGGCCTACCACTTTTTTCTAAGGTCGTATTATTTCAACAATGCCGTGAATCCCTTCATATATTGTGTTAGTTGCGGGAATTTTAGGTCAGCACTATTCAAACTTTTTCAAACATTGAAACAAAAAGTACGCAATTGCTGCAACGGGTCAGAGATAGAGTTTTGAAAATTTGTGATATTTTGAAATATGAATACATTAAGTTCAGTTTATCACTTTTCGTTCGTGTCTTTAGGAAACAAAATCAAACGAAGCAATATTTGAAACAGTATATTAAACATTCGTTAAAACATAAACGAACAGCTGACTGGTTAATCTTTATTATCCGACCTTAAAACTGAACGTAATTTATCAGAAAGGAGATAATAAGTGAAATATTTAATGAATTTGGATGCATAACAAACTGCTATCACAGAAGAGAAGAAATAGAGAAGAGAAAAACAAACAATTTTGCTGCAACTGGAATTTAAAGAAGTTTTTTTGTTTTACTCTAGTGGTTGATTTTATAATTCATCATCAGTGAGTGCACCTAGTCGATAAGATTGTTTTCATGCCATGGAACTTTCGTAATTGGTGCATTTGTTTTATTTGTTGTAAACAAGATGTACCTCGTATGTTTGTTATCAGATTCAAGTATATTGTCATCAACGCTCATGGACTAAATGATACGATGTTCTGGTCAGATTAATTTTATAGATTAAAGTACATTTATTGTAAATGGTGAGTACTGAACAACACTTTGTTGATTTTGAATTTTTCCACACATTATAGAACAACATCCAAATAACAGTGTTAAAAACAGAATGTATGTAGTATCATTGACTGCAAGTCTTTACAATTCAAATTGTATCATTTTTTGCGAGCACAAACGTTTTTAATTCAGATCGCTGCGTCATTTGTTGCAAGCTTATAAGATTCGATTTGTATTATATTTACGATCAGTAGATGCGTTTACCAAATGTGCTTAATATTCTGTGTAAATGTCAACCTAGTTTTAATCTTTTTTCTGAAAATGATATTTTCTTCACTGAAAATTTTTTTATACGATGAAGTGAGTTTAATAACTTTAAAAGAATTTAATTTAAGAGAGTTTTTCTGTATTGAACTATTGTATATAACATGATTACATTTATCTACCAGTTAAAGCAATATTTGTCTAGTAAGTTATCAAAATCAAGCCTATTATTAATATTATCTTCGGAAAACGGCTATCATTTTAGGTTTACACCGGATTAATAAATATCGTTCACGCTTCGATTTTTTTTCTTGTTGTTGTTATTTTTTTGGGTTGGGGTGTAATCTTCAACAAAAGAACATATTTACTAGATGATGTAGGAAATTTCCGACCTCTCTCCGAATTATTGAATCAGTAATACAGCAGCAGATACTAGGTCTTTCACGAGAAATATATCCGCTTATCTATTCTGGCTTAATGAAATATACAAATAACATTAGAAATGTGAAATGATCAAGAGACAAACGATACAAATACAGATACAAATATTCACTTTTGTGTTTTAATGAAAACTACAGTTGAAAAGTAACTAAATAAATTGTAAAGAACAGTTTTGGTTTATCAGTTACGTATTGATCAATGCAAATGCTACAATCTCCTAGACTTGTAGGAGTATTTTGCTACTTGTCACTTGCATTTATTGAACAATGACAAATATGGACAAATAATTAATTATTATTTGTACGTCTGCGTATATTTGTGGTAACCTGAATCTTGACATTTCAATATGATTACGTTTATCAAAATCATCCCGTGCGATAACGCCGTCTTTAATTTCATATGTCATGAACACCACAATACCCACACAGCACGCAAATGCCAAGACCAAAACAAAAAACTTCATAACTACGTATAAAGTAACAATTTCCTGAATGCCAAATCATATTAATTCTAGAAAAAAAATGTTTGCGTATTAAAAGGCAATAGTACGTTACAAATGATTTTAAATGCTTTTCGAGAATATAAACTGTCTAAAAGAGTTTCGTACATTTAAGTACAATGATATAATTGGTAAGGCACAACTGTAATTGAATATAAGAATATGAAAAAATATGAAAGATATGTATAAAAGCAAAAATAATTCGTATCAAATCATAGGTAAAATTTAAATATGTTTTATTGTTGGCGAATTTGTATCACGTTATATACAGGATAAGGAAATATATACCATGATACCGTGGTTTATAAAATGGTCCCGTGATCAATAATCGATAAAACAGTAATGACATATCTGTTTCAACCCAAATTATTACAAGTCTTTCGTCTAAATTTGCAACAAAAAAGGAAAATCGTGAAGTGAGCTGTCAGTAATCAAGTTCCAATGTTTTTTCCGAGTTGGAAACCACCGACAAGGCCCTTATTTAGTTGTGCGTCAGTAAAGCCTGGTTAACCAATAAGATAATGATAAACTTGAACGACTGTAGCACTGTACACCAATATAAAAACACTAAAAAAAGACAAATAAAGCAGTAAATGTATTAACTAATGCATAGAGAATGGTAAGAAATTCAAACCACATTTCATTGTTGTTTATATGGTTGCTTTATGCTTTGATTTACAAGTTTGATATCTTTCGGTTGTTGACAATTACACTTGAAATCACTAAAAAGCTATAAATTAAACTTTTATTAACCAATTATCGATTACTGTAGAGTTACAGTTTCAGTGTTTCATGATTTGTTGTGCGTAAAACTACTAATAATACATGCAAGTAGGAAGGACTCATTAAATTTGAGCGTCATGTTTAGTCTTGATAGTTAAAAAGCAACAAAAAAACTTTGTTTCTGATGGCGTAATCATTTTTCTTTTCATAACAGGAGTAGAAAAAAAGAATGATCTTAACAATTAGCACGTACGGATTCATTTTGATAGTTTATGATATATCATATATACTATCTCCTCCATATACTTAAAATTGAACAGAAATATTTTAAACTATATGGTGTCACTATTTTTGTTTGTTTGTTTGTTTGTTGTTTTTTTTCCTCAACTTATAATAATAAGCAAGATGTATATAAGAAAAGCATGGTAATGATTCTTACCTGGTTCGGGTCTATATGACTGGTTAACGAGCAAGTGTTCATAATGAAATTGTTGGTGAACTTTTACCATTCAATCCATTATATTACATAATTACTTCTACTAATAAACCAGAGAAAACTAAAACGAGATTTACATAGTAAGGGTAATCACATTATTTGCCAAGATGCAACGCATTTTAACAACACATATTGCTTGAAATGAATGACAGTTATTATGCATCGCGCCATCTTGAGATGATATTACTTTATCGCTGACATTCAATTTACGATATTAATTCATTAAATATGCGTCAAGCTCTTGAAAATTTCGTATTTAAATAATAACAAATATAGAAGACAAGTGGTGAATGACGTTAATGTAATCTATGATTATGCCTTATCTTTAAGTGCTGTGTACTTCTGTAATGTCTCCTAGCATTTTGTTTAAAAGAAGGACAATTTATAGCTCCATCAATGAGTTTTTCTTCTTTTGAACAAATATGAAATACAGTAACTAAGGAATGACAAAGAATTATATTGGATATCTTCATTGAATGCCAGTTTATCATCTTATGGTCATATATAACTGATAAATAACAAAGAATACAAAACGACATACATATTATATAGATCTTTCAACAATTAATGATGGTCGCATTCTAGGTTAATAAGTGTTGTTGATGAATTATTTCCGACTTAAATTACTTCCGTAATACAACAAGTAAATACAACTGTATTTACTTAATCTTAACGCGTTACAATGACTTCATAATTGTGATATTTCTAATAGTACAATGACTAACAAAAACGTTATGTCAGTGAATAGTACAGCCTGGTATAAGTCATCCATATAATAAAAGGTTATAAAGAGGGTTGCAATCTTACAATCAAACGAAACACTTCACAAATAAAGTGTGTGGCTTTTTTAAACATTGTTTTCAGATCGCTTGATACTTGCGCTTAAAACCTTTCCGCTGTCCGTTTCCATACCAGATATGATAATGCATTACTTAATCGTCTGCAATAACGCTTGGAAATAGTCAATTAAAATGATTTTCTTACTTTAATTAAGTGAAGACTTGAAAAGGGTAATATTAAAATTGATAATAATCTGAAGAACTAGTCGGTCTTTGCGATATTTCTTTTCCAACAAGTACAATTGAAACAACAGACATGAAATTTGCTTTAGATTTCGTGACTTGTTATGCACTGCCATGATTTTCGTGTCTTTTATTTTTTCTTGTCTTTTTTTCTTTGTTGTTGTGTTTTTGTTTTTTTTTTTTGTGCTGTTGTTGTTGTCTTCATTTTAGTTTTTTGTTTGTTTACTTGTTTGTTTGGGTTTTTTGTTGTTGCTGCTGTTGTTGTTACTTTAGGGAATTGATTTTTTATTACTATTTTTATTTATAAATATACAGCAAAGACATACTTTGTATGCAATAAACACTATCACATTAAAATCATATTATCGTTTGCGCCCCTTAATTCTTCGCTACGAAGCTACCTAGCGAAGTATAGTGGAGTGACAGGATATGATTTTAATGAGATGACAATTAGCACTATTTTATTAGTTCTGAACTTCAATACTTCAAAGTATTGAATATCTTTATTTCCATGGTAACACATCTAAATAGCTTTTGTGTTAGCTTATTTATATTTGCTTTGCCTAAACGCCTTTGCAGTTTTATTTCTGTCATAAGAGAAAATGGATGGTGTAAAGACATTAGTCTAACAAAAGTTGATTGAAAATGTCTGAAGCAAATGTGCCAGACGACCACGGATTTATAAATCCGTGCAGACGACTTAATTGTGAGAAAATGTATATAAATTTGAGTGTATAAAAATGACTGGAAACTAAAAGACTAGAAAAGTGTATCATTAAATCTCAAAGGATGACAGAAAATTGGACACAAACATATCCAAAACATGTCCAACCAAAACACATTGTCTAATGTCTGCTGTATAGGCCCAACCTTGTCTACTGGAACAGTATAATTGCAGGTGATTTTTTTATGAATTTTACGTTAATCAGCAAGTGTTAGATAATATTGGGGTTTTTTTTTGTTGTCTCTTTGTTGTTGTTTTTTTATGTATTAAGTATGACAAAACATTATAATGAAAGTTTCCAAATATAAGTTGTGTTAGTATATCTTGCATTTGATACTAGCAGTAGGTTAACATCAGACTTCAAATGTATCAGGTAAAATCTAGAAAATAAATAGGTGTTACACTTTTCATGGTCACATGGCGGCATGACCGACTAGTCAACGCATCGGACTAGTAATATAAGGTTAGCTATCCGCTTTAGTTCAAACCCCGCCTTGTTTCCTTGAACAAGAAACTTCACATTCATTACTCAGTTCTGGTTGATTCGAGAATGAGTCTTTAAGCTATCAGCTTTTTACACAATCAAATAAAAATAAATTCTGCATAAACCAAAGAGACTTGTGTTGAGAAAATAATTGTATATTTGTAAAACAAATAGACATGCAATCAAATTTACTGCATGAATGACATTCATTTTTGTAACATATTTGTTACATATCTGATCAACATTTTCAAGCACTCTGTATTGAAACAAAGGTTCTGGATAAGTGATACTACTGCTTTAACATTAGTGTTCTATTGTGTTAGTATATATATGTCACTCCACGGGAATTTCTATTTACAGTCAATTCGTCGACTTCTTAGCGCTTTATTTATTTATTTATCCATATTCATAAAGTATATCAATAACATGTAACATGATCAAGGCACTGTCATAACGCACGATGTTTTCCATAAATAAGTTTATGTAAATGAACTACTGCCTTGACAGTTGAATCTCATTATACATACGTAAAACATCATAATATCTATGTCAACAAGCTTTGGGCAATTTTTCATCGGAAACTGTTTTTGTACTTGGCTGAGTTCAACACTTTCTATAACTTTTTTTTAAAAATTCTTAAATCAAGACAACAGAAAATGTTTCTATTGATAGTGTAACTAGTAGTTGTTTATAAAAAATGTTAACGACTAGTAGTTGTTCATAACAAATGTTAACGACTATAGTAGTTGTTCATAACAAATGTTAACGAAGAAGATTTTTATAAGAACCTGTAATTACATTTATGATGAAATTGATGAACTTGAAAAAAATAACTTAGCGTTATTCATTAGTGGCAAGATGCAAAAAGTTCTATCAGCACATTTCGCGGGAAATTAATTTTTGATTCATTCAGTGTTATGATATCTTTACATATATGCATTTTATTTGTTATTAATTCACATATGCGTCATATTTATAGAAATTGTGTATTTACAAATTTAAAGTTGTGAATGACGTTTTACGTTATCTGTAATTATGTCTAGTTTAGTGTCGTTATTTGTTATGTCTGATACTGTTTCAAAGTTAATTTATTGTTCCATCAATGGGATTTATATTCTGGCGAATAAATATGAAATACAATAACAAACTGTATGGTCTACTAATGCTTTTTTATTGAATATCTTTATTACTGTCAGTATGACACATTTATCATTAATATAATGGCCATGTATAACATATATGAGCCGCGCCATGACAAAACCTACATAGTGCGTTTGCGACCAGCATGGATCCAGACCAGCCTGCGCATCCGCCTAGTCTGATCAGCATCCATGCTGTTCGCTTACCAACCCTACTACAAGTAGAGAAACTAAAAGCGAACAGCATGGATCTTGATCAGACTGCGCGGATGCGCAATCTGGTCAGGATCCATGCTGGTCGTAAACGCACAATGTTGGTTTTGTCATGACGCGGCTCATATATGACAAAGAACATAGAACTTCATTCATTGATGTGACAATAATCAATGGTTAGTTACCCTCTAATTGAAACACTGATGTTTGTGAATAACTTATTTATATGTACAAGTGATGAAATGCCGTCAACTAGTACTCTACAGATCTCTTACATCAAACAGGAATACATTGATTTCTTACATGAAACATTGCAAAGAATCTGTGATGAGGTGCAAGTGATTTCGAATCCCGCCGCGGACATTGGATAACTTCATGTGAAGAGTCTATCAAGCTTACTTACAGAACGTCAATAGTTCTAATCTAATGTTCGGAGGGCGGGTGATGTCTTCCCAACCAATAAAGATGGAAAGACGCCATATAACGCTTATTAGTGTCAGTGTCACATAAAACTTAACAAAAACAACACACTAAACCAATAAAAAAAACATTCTGCCAATAAGGAACATTAAAGCAGCTTGCAGATTCAAGCTAAGAAAATAAAATATTGTCACGTGAAAAAAGAAGTAATTTACAAAATGCACGTTCAAGTCAAAATAACTACCAAATAAAGGTTAAAATATGCAAAATTAGTTCATACTGCGTTATTCATGCAGTAGAAATTTGGTGATAAATACTGCAAAATCAGTCATTCATTGCATTTTTAATAAAAATCATTACCTGAATTGCGAAAATTTAATTTTCTTTAAATCTTTTCATCGAGTTCAATCTAGTTCATTTTTCTCAAATTTGATTGTCTTGAAATAATTTAAATAGCTCATCTGGGGGCATGCAGCTTTTAAAGCGACAGTGATTCACAGAATGCCACTTTGTACATTTTGTCTTGCTTTTAATTTATGTTGCATGCGCTTTATTGAAGACGTTTATAAATGCATGATATTGTCAAGCAGATGTTTTGTCTTTTATTATTTATATGAAATGATAATCAATTAAATAATAATCAGTTCAATATTAAGACTTGTTAAGTAAACTAAATTGAAATTCAAAATGATAAACAAGATATATTTTATTTCCTCATACTTCAATGTGTATGTTTTATACATACTGACCTAATCCGTTTTAAATCAGTAGGGCGTGAGTGCGTCCACTTAAAGTATGTCTTAAGCTTATCTGGCATTCGCATCACCTTGATTGTCACGGAAACAAGTATTGAAGGAGGTTCTACCATGTTTCTTTTAATGCAAAAATAAAAGAAAATCTAAGAGTGCATGTCCTTGCATTATATATAACAGAGATTTAAATTGAATTATTGCAGAAAAAGAGGTGTATTTCGATAATCTGTGAACAACTGTTACATTTATACTTAAGTTTAGGTCTATCTTTTCTTCTTGTAATAATTCTAGTCTGTTTTTTTATTATTATTTTGTTTATTTCACTTTTGGTACTCAAACCCCTTCTATCATTGCTGGAAGTTTCTGGAGAAACATAAACTACTAAATTAAACTAATTGCCTACTTACTTTTCATATTGTTCTTCGTTGTATCAATTTTCATTTGTTAAGTAATGTAACCATTTAATAAATGAAAAGTAATTGTCTTATGTTATGATAATGTCTACACCAATCTCATTTTATTTCCTGATTACTTTAACAATGCCTTATGGATAAGTAAAATCTGTTTACTTCTATAATAATGATGATAGCGCACTTTTCTTTAAACGTTTTGACCCATTTTCCCCCTGTTTCTCTTATGGTAAAACACTCGACAATATTCACCATCTTTCATAAAATTAAGTAGTGTATGACAATATCACAAACAGTTTAATGACAGATGATATCAATTCACGCAAAAGCCTTGCAAAAAATCTTGTTTTATAAAGTAGTGCTACAGAATTTAAGATGTAGAGTAATAAATGTTTAATTAGACAGTTGTACACTATAATGTAATGAATGTCTTATAAATTCTTATCATGTTAAAAGTCGTATTTCAAGCATATATACTAATGGACGCTTGTCAACGTATGTATACTGAATTAAAGCAAGGATAAAATGCAACTGATCAAACAACATTTTCTGTACTTTATATTTGAATTAAATGTTCTTTGAAAACTATCTTTGACGTTATACATTTTCATTTGTTTTTTTTTTTTGTTTTTTCTTTAGTTTAGTATCTTTAATCATTTGATGGTTCATATTGTTTCACACTTAAAGCTGCACGCCTCCAGATTCATGTTCATTTTCATGAAAATTTTGAAAATGCATAAAAAAGTAAAATATTGTGAACAAAGAAAATAATTCTTACATTGCAAACAGCATAAACAACTCATCTTAACTACCAAAAGGAGGTCAAAATATGCAAAATAGCCCTTACTGCGTTAGTAACGCAGCAGAAATTTTGGGGGAAAATACTGCGAAATCGGTCATAAATCGATTATAACATAGAAAATATTACTTTTATCTTGAATCTTTTACCTTTTGTTAAAATCTCAGTACTTTTTACTCAAGTTTTTTTTTCTTTAAATATCTTAGCTCACCTGGATGCATACATCTTTAAACTCCACTTTAAGATGATTTATTCAGAAAGACATAAACGATGTGCCAGTAATACATCATGAATGTGAATTTGTTTAAATATGTGAATGTCCTATTTTATGAGCTATATAATTACCGACATTTACCTACCGTATCTCCTTTGTGTTTGCCTTATTATGCATGTTCACAAAAAATGCTCTGAATAAATTGTCATGTTTGGACCTAATTGTTATGTTCAATTTCACCACACTACTAAACCTAGTGGTTTTAATTCATAATAAATAGAAAATCTAATATAAATTAAATGCTCAAGAAGAAAAAGAAAAGCAATGTTTAATGGACACACCGCATGCTGTATACACGTGTACTGATCAAAAATTGAATGCTGGTAAAATGAAATTCAAGCCAACATTAGCTTTGCATATAAAGTTTATACGAAATAATTCAAAAAGTGTTTTCTTACAGACGTAAGAAGACACTTTTAATAACTGTTATGTTATCATGCACGTGAATTGAGAGCAGCTTAAATATACGGTGTTCTGTATCCATTACATATTTCGAAATAATTTCTTTCAGTAAAACACATATTTCTAATTCAAACTAAATGTTTAACATAAAACAATTTTCGAGTAAAAAACAAGAGATCTGTTCACAAATTCTTAACTTTATATATGAAAATATCATATTACCCCCGGAAAGTTCAATATGTCACAAATATTTTACAAATTTATCACAACAACGTTTTCTTGTATTTGGCTATTTTTCTGCTTCCGCCCAGCAGCATTTTTATAGACATTTTCAAATTTAAATTGTCACATTTATCCAAGTAAATAAGCGAATGTATTTTCAATCAATGACTTTTATTTACTTCTATCTAACTATTATATTTACAAAATGACCAAACCTGGAAAAATTCTCAACTTGCATATTATAAAGCAAAACTAAAAACATTGAAGTACGCCAAAAACGACACGACTGAAAATGTTACAGAGTCGATTTTGATTGAGTCTGTTCACAAACGACAGTGATAAATGCAGTGTTCCGAGGACACGCCTATCAACCGGCTTCATGAAAATGATTTAAGATAAAGAAAACACTTGTTTGTCCAGTTGCAGTCACCTTTGATTATTCAAGTAAATAAGCGAATGTATTTTCAATCAATGACTTTTATTTACTACTATCTAACTATTATATTTACAAAAATGACCAAACCTGGAAAAATGCTCAACTTGCATATTATAAAGCAAAACTGAAAACATTAAAGAACGCCAAAAAGGGCACCACTGAAAATGTTACAGAGTCTGTTTTGATTGAGTCTGTTCGCAAACAGCAGTGATAAATGCAGTGTACCGAGACCACTCCTAGCACCGGCTTCATGAAAATGATTTAAGATAAAAGAAAACACTTGTTTCCCCACATGCAGTCACCTTTGATTAGACCTACATTCATAACAATGTACGATTTTTATGAAAAGTGTCGAATTACCACCGCAACAAAGAGCATCCAAAGACTTTTCCTGATACCTTCCGCTGAATTGAATATATCGTCTTCATCATCATCCAAGAGAGCAAATATTCTTGTAGGACCTCCAGATCCACCTCGTACCTTCATAACTCCTAGTACAAATGTTGTACCACGTGCTGGAATTCTGTCTAAATTAGCAATATATTCGAGCAGAGGAACGTTATTTGGTTGTAGATACATATGGCATGGATATCCAGGAGGATTTCCGGGATCAGTAGAAGGTGTATCTGACCCAACAACGGACACCTGTAAGAAGAAAAGAATCCATATCGTATGATTCAAGATACTGAGATTTAACCGATTACTTAATATGATGAATGACAAATTTCAACATTTATACGTTATCTTGTTTTCTAGCTTTTAACGTATCGTCAAACTTACTTGTCTTTGCTGGAGTAAAAATTCACAAGCCTCTAAACTCCAGCCGGGGAAATGAAACGTGTTAGGATCAGTAAGATTCTTTGTGCCGAAGATCAGCGTTGAGTTTGGATATTTGCGACTCCAACCCGAGTTGAAAGTTATGATGGCGTTAGGCGGAATTCTACCATACTCTGCTTCATGCACTGGAAATAATGATTATCCGCTAATGTATCAAAGTGGTTATTTAATCAAACAAATAGCTACCCGTATACATTGTGTATTTTACTGATGAAATTTCATATAAAGTTTTGTTTCTGTTCCTATTCCAATTAGGAAAATATATTTGAATACTGTCCAAAATTGATAAACAAGCAAATATATGTCAAATAAAAACAGATTCATTAAAAAACGGATTTAAAAATTATATATATAGTTCCATGCATTGTTTGTTCTTAATGTTTTGCTCATTGATAAAGTTAAATACAAATGCTATATGATAAGCAAATGGACTAATGTCTGTCTTACTTTTGATATCTTCGACTGTAACTGCATAGTCAGCATTGTTTCTCACCTTGTCCTGGACGTCAATGACGACCCCAGGACCTATAAGTTTCTCCGGTGGTATTTGCTCCAGTGATTGTCGGCCGTTTCCAAAGTGTATTGGTGCATCAATATGTGTCCCTTGGTGCTCATAAAATTCTATTTGATTTAGTTCAACCCTAAAAAATGAACATTATCATATGTATTTTATTTAAAATCAAAAAGGTTAACGTATTATATATTTTGAAAAGTTTTTTGAAAGTAAAACAAAATCGCTTTCTTTTAGACCATAAAAGAATTATCTTTGAAGGTACAAACATGTATTAAAATGAAATAAATACAAGTGAAATAGCATCAACGAGCATATGGATATTCACATTTCCCAACAACATGGCTACTGCAGCATTCATCCTTAAACAAACGTAATACATATTTACACAAATACTCTCACAGTTTAAGTTACTGTAAATGTTTCCTTATTAATGAACTCCGCATGATATCCCAAATTATAAGCATTTCTAAGTTTCAAAATATTTTACTAGGTTTTGGTTTAAACAATATTTATTTCTTCTTCCATATTTTCTAAACATAATTACAATGCATAAATTACACCTACATTATGTATTATTGAGTAAAAAGCTTGACGCTTATATGGCACTTCCTCCCACTAATTGGAACATATAAACGAAATTGTATTTTAACTTTTTATTATATTTTTTTTTAAATTTAAGCCAGGTCGCTGAATCCAAAATTAATGCATATCTATTTCCGAAGATCCCTAACTATTTAAGCTGAAGCAAGGGCCTTGTTAAATGTTTTCCACAATATTCACATTTTGTTATTGTCATAGCATTGAATAATTTAGATATTTAACATGATTACTTATTAAGATTCTTACCACATGTCGTCATAGTATCGCTTTAATAGAGGTGTTAATCTATAGTAGGTAAAATTCTCCGCCCCGAGCCAAGTGAGAGGGTATTTTGGCGCATCTTTATCGAATGTATGTGTCAGATCGATCATTTTCCTACCATATATTCCACCAGGGAGTGCTAACAATAGAAACAGCACTGCACCGCCCATTGTTGCTTTCATTCGTATTGCGCCTGTTTTAAAAAGGTTAAATCTCCAAATAGGTAAGAAAAACGAGGTGTTATAAAATATCTTTTGAAGGCCACAATTAATCAGATAAATACACATTGTGCAAAAACTGTATACCATTTCTTTTTCAAGTCAATTAAAACAATTATTTTCAAATTTAAAGATGAAACTAACAATATTAAATGAAAAACAAGAAATTTACCTGTATGCGCATTAAAAAAAATCACACCAAAATAACACAAACTCGACGTTTTGTAAAACTGCCGTCAACCAAATGAAATAAACATGAAAATGTTTTTAACCTTGAACTGTTCAACGTGATACATTTACTAATAGGTTACGACGATGCGTTGCGTTGTGACATCATCCTTTTGTCTTCTTCTTAATAAATAAAATGAACATCATATTTTGTATATTTATATTACATGAAAATTTTGAGTCGTTGCGATGTGAAAAAAAAACAAAAAAACATTTTCTTTATTTTTTGTTTGTGTTTTTATAAAACATCTTGTAATATAAATAAAACAAATCACGGTTACTACGCAGTTTTACATTAAGTTTGATTTCTTCTCTCCAAATTCCATTCCTGTTTCAATAACTGATAATATGTAATAAGGTTATAATACATTGTTGAGTAGACTACTTTATTATATTGGACGAATAAACAGCTATCAAGATTATATTGTGCGAGGCGCTAGCCGAGTCTGATCCAGGTGTTTTCAGTTGTGTTAGCTGTCAAAATTATATTGTGCGAGGCGTTAGCCGAGTTCGATTTAGGTTTCGCAGCTGTGTGAGCTGTCAAAATTATATTGTGCGAGGCGCTAGCCGAGTCCAATTTAGGTTTTGCAGCTGTGTTAGCTGTCAAAATTATATTGTGCGAGGCGCTAGCCTAGTCCGATTTAGGTTTTGCAGCTGTGTTAGCAGTCAAAATTATATTGTGCGAGGCGCAAGCCTAGTCCGATTTAGGTTTTGCAGCTGTGTAAGCTGTCAAAATTATATTGTGCGAGGCGCTAGCCTAGTCGATTTAGGTTTTGCAGCTGTGTTAGCAGTCAAAATTATATTGTGCGAGGCGCAAGCCTAGTCCGATTTAGGTTTTGCAGTTGTGTTAGCTGTCAAAATTATATTGTGCGAGGCGTTAGCCGAGTTCGATTTAGGTTTTCGCAGCTGTGTGAGCTGTCAAAATTATTATTGTGCGAGGCGCTAGCCGAGTCCGATTTAGGTTTTGCAGCTGTGTTAGCTGTCAAAATTATATTGTGGGTGGCGCTAGCCTAGTCCGATTTAGGTTTTGCAGTTGTGTTAGCTGTCAAAATTATATTGTGCGAAGCGCTAGCCGAGTCCGATTTAGGTTTTGCAGCTGTGTTAGCTGTCAAAATTATATTGTGCGAGGCGCTAGCCGAGTCCGATTTTGGTTTTGCAGCTGTGTTAGCTGTCAAAATTATATTGTGCGAGGCGCTAGCCGAGTCCGATTTAGGTTTTGCAGCTGTGTTAGCTGTCAAATTATATTGTGCGAAGCGCTAGCCGGGTCCGATTTAGGTTTTGCAGCTGTGTTAGCTGTCAAAATTATATTGTGCGAGGCGCTAGCCTAGTCCGATTTAGGTTTTGCAGCTATGTTAGCTGTCAACATTTTATTGTGCGAGGCGCTAGCCTAGTCCGATTTAGGTTTTGCAGCTATGTTAGCTGTCAAAATTATATTGTGCGAGGCGCTAGCCTGGTCGGATTTAGGTTTTACAGCTATGTTAGCTGTCAACATTATATTGTGCGAGGCGCTAGCCTAGTCCGCTTTAGGTTTTGCAGCTGTGTTAGGTGTCAAAATCATATTGTGCGAGGCGCTAGCCTAGTCCGATTTAGGTTTTGCAGCTATGTTAGCTGTCAACATTTTATTGTGCGAGGCGCTAGCCTAGTCCGATTTAGGTTTTGCAGCTATGTTAGCTGTCAACATTATATTGTGGAGGCGCTACTAGTTTGTCCGATTTAGGTTTTGCAGCTGTGTTAGGTGTAAAATTATATGGTTGCGGCGCCTAGCCGGAGTCCGATTTAGGTTTTGCAGCTATGTTAGCTGTTCAACATTTATTGTGCGAGGCGCTAGCCGAGTCCTGATTTAGGTTTTGCAGCTGTGTTAGCTGTCAAATTATATTGTGCGCAGCGCTTAGCCTAGGTCCCTGATTTAGGTTTTGCAGCTATGTTAGCTGTCAACAATTATATTGGTGCGAGGCGCTAGCCTAGTCCGATTTAGGTTTTGGCAGCTGTGTTAGCTGTCAACATTTATTGTGCGAGGCGCTAGCCTAGTCCGATTTAGGTTTTGCAGCTGTGTTAGCTGTCAAACATTTTATTGTGCGAGGCGCTAGCCGCCCGAGGTCATTTTAGGTTTTGCAGCTATGTTAGCTGTCAACATTATATTGTGCGAGGCGCTAGCCTAGTCCGCTTTAGGTTTGCAGCTGTGTTTAGCTGTCAACATCATATTGTGCGAGGCGCTAGCCTAGTCCGATTTAGGTTTTGCAGCTATGTTAGCTGTCAACAATTACTATTGTGCGAGGCTGCTAGCCTAGTCCGATTTAGGTTTTGCAGCTATGTTAGCTGTCAAAATTTGTATTGTGCGAGGCGCTAGCCTAGTCCGATTTAGGTTTTGCAGGCTATGTTAGCTGTCAACATTATATTGTGCGAGGCGCTAGCATAGTCCGATTTAGGTTTTGCAGCTTGTGTTAGGTGTCAACATTTTATTGTGCGAGGCGCTAGCCTAGTCCGATTTAGGTTTTGCAGCTATGTTAGCTGTCAACATTATATTTGTGCGAGGCGCTAGCCTAGTCCGATTTAGGTTTTGCAGCTGTGTTAGCTGTCAACATTATATGTGGCGAGGCGCTAGCCTAGTCCGATTTAGGTTTTGCAGCTGTGTTAGCTGTCAAATATTATATTTGTGCGAGGCGCTAGCCTAGTCCGATTTAGGTTTTGCAGCTATGTTAGGTGTCAACATTATATTGTGCGAGGCGCTAGCCTAGTCCGATTTAGGTTTTGCAGCTATGTTAGGTGTCAACATTTTATTGTGCGAGGCGCTAGCCTAGTCCGATTTAGGTTTTGCAGCTGTGTTAGGTGTCAACATTTTATTGTGCGAGGCGCTAGCCTAGTCCGATTTAGGTTTTGCAGCTGTGTTAGCTGTCAAAACTATATTGTGTAAGGCGCTAGCCGAGTCTGATTCAGGTTCTGCAGCTGTGTTCGGGTCCAATAGTATCAGTAATGTTTATAACAATAACTTTATGTAATGACCTCTTTATTTCACACCACCTCTTTTACAAAACTCACTTCAAAGACATTAAGTATCTGATGTGCTTTGGTTTTATGGACTCTAAAATAGGCGTATTATATGTATTTGAAATGGAATTTTTTGACACTGAAATAAAAACAAGGCTACTGTATAGTTTGTACGATATAAATTTTATATAAATGTTTTGGACTCTGAAAATAAAAACGCGGCTATTGATAAGACTGGATCATTGGTTGTATTGTAAAAGGTGTTAAATAAAAGTTTATATCTTATTACATGTGTTTTTTTTAATATAACAAATGAGTGAAAGACACAGTAGTATGGATTCGGCTTTAAATCTTTATTATGTAATAAGTTGCAATTGAATATTAGTTTGTATGGATACCAGAACGCTTTCTGGCCAGTAAACATGAATAATTTGATTTTGTTGTCTATATTATTACCATCATCATAAAGTGATATTATGATAACGTTTGAGATAGCGACTTTCTCTTTCGTATTAATGCATATAAATACACATGGCTTTTCTATAAACATTGAAATTATATACAAATATTAAGCAAGTTTTGAATTAAATGTCTACACTTGAACGATCATTATTGTGTTTTCTTATTCAACATGCAAGGAAATTGTATACCTATTTTGCACGACGATGCATTATGTAAATGTTTAAGATAAGATATATGTTTGTGTCTGTTCTATATTTGGTCTACCAAAGCTGCAGGTCAGTACAGAAAATGATATGCATGCATAGGTAAAATTGCTTGCTGACAATGTAATCAACCGTTTATGAGATTTCGTTGCAATAGTGATATTCAGCTTCACACAGTATATAACATATCACCAAGGCCTATAAACTATTTTGGAATGAATACATGAAATTTTACCGATTTTTCAGCTCATTATTAATATTTCGTTTTGTAAAGTCGTATTTCGAAGCGGAGCATGCGCATAACATTTTTATAGACCGGTACAAAAGATTTAAGCCAGAATAAGATTTATTAACTTTAATTTGATACGCATTCATTCTCAACACTGTGGAGAGGTCCTCTCCAATAAGTTTGTGTATATGTGCTGAAAATGTGTGAATATATTTGAAAATAGAGAGAAGTTGAATTGAGCGGGAAAATCAAAATTGTTCATAATGCTGAGATTTTGTTTTGACGATATTCATGGATAAGTTATCTGTATGATACTCTTTCGCCTTCATATTATTATCAAATTCATTTTATGTCACGCGATTCATAGATTATCACTTCGTATTAAAAGTTATTATGCAAACATAGAGCAGTGCATTAACAAGAGAACAGAGTACAGAGTATAAAAAAGAAGAAATTTTCATTCCGAGAATTATATAGTAGAATCAAACTGGATAAATCCTTAAATCTCGAATGAACCTTTAGGAACTGTCCCACTTATATGCATGTCCCTGTTTGTTTGAATAACATAACTAACGTGCATCAGTTCCTTTCCCTTCCTAGTGTGTCTTTACATATGTATGTTGTCCATAGACTATCATTAACATGTTTAATTATATGTTAATAATCAAAACATGCTAATAATAGTAATTGAGTCATTCAGTGTCAAAAAATGCACTTTTTACAAAGCGTTTTTTTTTCAAGATTAAGATTCGAGTCACATGGCTATAGTCATTCAAAAACTTTATACAAAGTATTCACATACCTTGAAAAAGACCATCACATATACCTAGCTCATTCTTCCAAGACTTTCATAAACATGGTCCTGTTTGTGATAAGACCATCACCAACATGCTTGCAAAAATACCACTAGAAGCCGAACATGCATCACTTTCGTATATATAATTTCTTTAGTTCATTGTGTATGAAGCTATAATTAATCTTAAAGACACACTCTCGAATCCGTTCCCGGAATCAACAAATGCCGAGGAATGAATGTAAAGTTTCTTGCTCAAGGAAACAACGGATTGACCCTGACTTTGGCTTGAATCCACACAGCAAGAGATACTTACATCACTTGTTCGACGCGTTAACCACTCAGCTATTTATTAATTTACAAGTAAATGGTCAGAAAACTAAATATACTATGCGTTTGTTTTTCCTTTTTCCTTTTCATATCCATG